CAAGACTCCGTCTCAAAAAAAAAAACAAACTCCCTGTAAGCCATCAGAGAGTGTGGGTCTTAAACCATGAGCTGCCCAATTCTCCTTGATTGGGGCCCTGCAATAAATGCCTCACTTTCCCTCGCTGCAATCCCAATGTCAGTGTTTGGCTTTGCTGTGCAGGGCAAGTGGACCCCAATTAGGTTCAACTAGGGTTGGGGGGACCAGCTGGATATAATCAGGGCATGAGGCCAGTTCAGCAAAAGGGTATCCTAGGAGAAATTTAAAAACACAGTTTTCTCTATGCCGAAAAGGAAAGAGACTCATTCCCTTCTTCCTTTCTTGGAGAATTTCCTTGAGAAATTTTGTGTTTGCAATTATATCTTCTGTCCCTTTGATAGGTACATAAATCTTTTGTGTATGTGCCATTCTTTTATACAATCCCATCGGGCTCTGGACACTCTCACCAATATCCCATACTTCCTTTTCCACTGTTAAACATTTCGTGAACCCCAAGGTGGGAGGGGCTGGGTGAGGGTTTGGGTTCCCCCTCCTGCCATCCTAAGCATCTGGGGTACCAGCCCTGCTGCCAAGTGATCTTGTCCCTAGCCCTGTCCCCCCAGACTGGCATGAGTGTGTGTTTGTGCCAAACTTCTATTTCAAATTGCAAATATAAATCAAGGAAAACAATTTAAGTTAAAAAAAAAAGAAAAAGAAGGCTGGGTGCCATGGCTCACACCCGTAATTCCAGCACTTTGGGAGGCCGAGGTGGGAGTTCAGGAGTTGGAGACCAGCCTGGACAACAAGGTGAAACCCTGTCTCTACATAAAAAATTGCAGAAATCAGCCAGGTGTGGTGGTGTGCGCCTGCAGTCCCAGCTACTCAGGAGCCTAAGGTGGGAGGCTGCCTTGAACCCGGGAGGCAGAGGTTGCAGTGAGCTGAGATGACACCACTGTACTCCAACCTGGATGACAGACTGAAACCCTCTCTCAAAAAAAAAAAAAAAAAAGAGAAAAAAAAAGGCCGGGCATGGTGACTTATGCCTATAATCCCAGCACTTTGGGAGGCCAAGGCGGGCGGATCACCTGAGGTCTAGAATTCGAGACCAGCCTGACCAACATGGAGAAACCCCATCTCTACTAAAAACCCAAAATTAGCCAGGTGTGGTGGCGCATGCCTGTAATCCCAGCTACTCTGGAGGCTGAGGCAGGAGAATCACTTGAACCTGGGAGGCAGAGGTTGCGGTGAGCCAAGATCCGTCCGTTGAACTCCAGCCCGGGCAACAAGAGTGAAACTCCATCTCAAAAAAAAAGGAAAGAAAGAAGAAAGAAACAAAGAAGAGAGAAAGAAAGAAAGAAGAAAGAAACAAAGAAGAGAGAAAGAAAGAAGAAAGAAAAGAGAAAAGAAAGAAGGAAGGAAGGGAGGAAGGAAGGAAGAAAGAAAAAAAGAAAGGAAGAAAGAAAGAAAGAAAGGAAAGAAAGAAAGAAAGAAAGAAAGAAAAAGAAAGGAAGGAAGGAAGGAAAGAAAGAAAGAGAGAAGGCCAGGCATGTTGGTTTACGTCTGTAATCCCAGCATTTTGGGAAGCCAAAGTGGGTGGATCACCTGAGGTCAGGAATTCCAGACCAGCCAGGCCAACATGGTGAAACCCCATCTCTACTAAAAATATAAAATTAGCTGGGTATGGTGGCACATGTCTGTAATTCCAGCTACTTGGGAGGCTGAAGCAGGAGAATCACTTGAACCCGGGAGGTGGAGGTTGCAGTGAGCAGAGATCATGCCACTTCACTCCAGCCTGGGTGACAAGAGAAAAACTCTGTGTCAAAAAAAAAGAAAAAGAAAAAAGAGAGAGAGAGAAAAAAAGAAAGATGAAAGAAAGAAAGAAAAAGAAGAAAGAGAAAGGAAAGAAAGAAGAAAGAAAGAAGAAAGAAAGAAAGAAAAAGAAAGAAATAAAAGAAAGAAAAGAAAAAAGAGACTGCCACTGTACACATTATCCATATTCTTCCTCTGTTTTATCTCTTTCTTCCCAGTGCTTATCACTGCCTAAGGATAGCACTGATGAATCCTGATAGTATTAGCAGTATCCGCTGTCACCTACGCTAACATCTCAGCTCTGTGACCAGGGCATTTGTGACTTTACCCTGTTCACCTTTGTACCCACACTGCCAAAAACAGAGCAGTCATTAAATTTGGGTTTATTTGTTACACAGCAATACTAACTGATGTATATGTCTTATTTAGTAGGAAGATTGATTGTTATCCCCATTTTATAGATTAGGAAACTGAGGCTTACAGAAATTAACCTCTATTGGGCATTTGGTTATGGATGATGAGGGAGACAGAGGTAGCAAGGATGGTGACAAGTTCATGTTTTACAGGAATGGATGAATGAGTAGCGCTTCCTAAGGCAGGAACTACTAAGAGAAGACAAGGTAAAGTAGAGAAGAAAGATCTTGAGTTCCCTCCTGGATAAGTTGAGTTTGAAGGGCCTAAAGGGAATGGCAGGTGAGCAGGCTAAGCCAGACTAGATCCCAGAGGAGCGGGTGGGGCAGGAGAGAGAAATGTGGATATTTCATTTGGATTTGGATCGTCATTTGAGTTGTGGACAGAGGCAAGACAGTGAAAGAAGAGGGCTTGCTGAGGCCCAAGATACCACAACATGTAACATCTGGGTGGTTGCAAAGAAGACGGAGAAGGTGCAGTCCCAGAGGTGAGAGGAGAACCGGGAGACAGTGGAGTCACAGAGACCTTGTCTTGTCTTGCTCTGTCCCCCAGGCTGGAGTGCAGTGGTGTAGTCACCGTTCACTGCAACCTTGAACTCCTAGGCTCAAGTGATCCTCCCACCTCAGCCTCCAGAGTAACTGGAACTACGGGTTTAAGCCACCATGCTGGTAAAATTCAATCATTTTAAAGAGAACAATTCAGTGGCATTTAGTATATTCCCAATGCTGTGCAACCACCACCACCACCTCTATCTAGTTCCAAAACATTTCCATCTCCCCAAAGTAAACCCATATCCAGGCGAGGCACGGTGGCTCACACCTGTAATCCCAGCACTTTGGGAGGCCGAGGCGGGTGGATCATGAGGTCAGGAGTTCAAGATCAGCCTTGCCAACATGGTGAAACTCTGTATCTACAAAAATACAAAAATTAGCCAGGCATGGTGGCATGCACCTGTAAGCTACTTGGGAGGCTGAGGCAGAAGAATCTCGAACCCTGGAGGCCAAAGTTGCAGGGAGCCGAGATCATGCCATTGCACTCCAGCTTGGGCGACAGAGAGAGACTCTGTCTCAAAAAACAAACAAACAAACAAAACCAATATCCAGTTGATTTCCAAGTTGCCGGGAGTACTTCATTGAAGCCTCCATGTACTAACAACAGATCCTTCTAAATGTAATTGGACTTTGAGGTCTCACCCCTGTATCCCCAGGGCACACAACACGGGGCTTTGGCACTGAACTAACCTTTTTTTTTTTTTTAATGTGCAGATCCTGAGACTACCCACCCAATCCTGAGTGATAACTCCTGCGTTGAAGACTCAAATCCAGGCTCTAGCACTTTTGTCTCTGTGACTTTGAACCAGTGACTGCCACCTGGAGGAACTTTACCTTTTCTGTAGAATAGGTATAACTGTGGTACCTATTGTGGGAGGTCAGACTATGCTCCCCCAAATATGAAGGACTGTTGAGCTGGAAACAATTAAGAAACCAGTACAGGAGAGCTCTCTGCCTGCCCTCTATTAGCCTAAAATCAGGGCACAGATTTGAGGATTATTACTCCCCTACGCTATCATAGAGGGCTTCCCATAGCACTCACTCAAGAATATTGTTATTATTACATCATATGGTTAAGATTACCGACAAGCAAAAGTCAAGCAGATCTGAAATACAGTCCAAGACAAGGGGCCGGGCGCGGTGGCTCACGCCTGTAATCCCAGCACTTTGGGAGGCTGAGGTGGGCGGATCATTTGAGGTCAGGAGTTCGAGACCAGCCTGAGCAACATGGTGAAACCCTGTCTCTACTAAAAATTCAAAAATTAGCCTGCCGTGGTGGCGGGCGCCTGTAATCCCAGCTACTAGGGAGGCTGAGGCAGGAGAATTGCTTGAACCAGGGAGGTGGAGGTTGAAGTGAGCCGAGATCGCAGCCACTGCACTCCAACCTGGGTGGCTCGTGAGACTCCGTCTCAAAAAAAAAAAAAAAAGTAAAAATGCAAAAACTAGCTGGGTGTGGCGGCGCGCGCCTGTAATCCCATCCACTCGGGAGGCTGAGGCAAGAGAATCGCTTGAAACCGGGAGGCAGAGGTTGTAGTGAGCCGAGATAGCGCCACTGCACTCCAACCTGGGCGAGAGCGAGACTCCGTCCCAAAGGAAAAAAAAAAAATCCAAGACAAGGGATCCTGAGCAAGTCCTCTCACTCTCCGAACCTCAGTTTCCCCGTCTGTAATATGTCGAGAAAGATAGTTCCTAGGGTAAATGAGGAAGGTTCAATGCTCACAGAAAGCGCTCAGCACGCGTAAGAATAGATACCATTTTTGTTAATTTTAAACACTAATTACAGATAGCACCACTGCCCTCCAGCCTGGGCGAGAGCGAGACTCCGTCCGAAAGCGGAAAAAAAAAAAAAATCCAAGTCAAGGGATCCTGAGCAAGCCCTCTCACTCTCCGAACCTCAGTTTCCCCGTTTGTAATATGAGGAGAAAGTTCGTAGGTTAATTGGGGAAGGTCCAATGCGCACAGAAAGTGCTCAGCACGCGTAAGAATAGATACCATTTTTATTTGTTAATTTTAAACATTGATTACGTTTAAAAGAATCAATGCTACGATTGTTGTCCCAGACTAGAGGCGGCTTGCGCTGCCGGCTCCAAGCACAGAGCGCAATTATGTCCTCCTTTTTCGGCGCTGCCACCCGCGCGGACCCCGGCTGATGCAGGGGAGGTGTGGCCCGCGGGTGGGCGGAGCGATCACACGACTCGCCCCCAAGACCAGTAGGCGGGGCCAGGCGGGGCTCCCCGACCCTCTCGCGCGCGCGCGCGCGCGGCCCCAGGTACGCGGACAAGATGGCGGCGGCAGCAGTCGACAGCGCGATGGAGGTGGTGCCGGCGCTACCGGAGGAGGCCGCGCCGGAGATAGCGGGCCTCAGCTGCCTGGTCAACCTGCCGGGTGAGGTGCTGGAGTACATCCTATGCTGCGGCTCGCTGACGGCCGCCGACATTGGCCGTGTCTCCAGCACCTGCCGGCGGCTGCGCGAGCTGTGCCAGAGCAGCGGGAAGGTGTGGAAGGAGCAGTTCCGGGTGAGGTGAGCCAGCAGCCCCGCGCCCCGGCTGCGCGCCCACCGCCCCGCGCCCCCCGGGGCCGGGCAGCCGCCCCGCTCGCTCCCCGCGGCCGCCCCGAGCGCGAACCCCACCCCGGACCCCTTCCCGCGGACAGACAGACAAAGGCCTCCAGGCCCCGGACCCTGCGGGGCCACGCCAGGCGGACCCCCGGGTCCCCAAATGGCGCATCTGTGAGCGCCTCGCAGCCGGGCCCTCGGTCAAGGGTGACGCTGGCGGCGGCGCGGCTCGTCCCTTTTGCGCGCTTCTTTTGTGCCCGACTCCGGGCTGAAATGTTTACATGGACCCAGTGATGCATCGATCGGGCGGGCGCAGCATCCCCGGGCTGGTTGTGGACGGCACAGATTTCAGCGTGGCACCGGGATGAAATCTGGCCCTGCACACTCCCTCTGTGACCTTGGGGGGAGCGACTTCCCTTTTTTTGAGCCTCGTTCATAGACTTTGAGTGGTGGTGATCATTAGACCTTTCACCGTGGTTATTAAATTAGATGATCTGCGGGAGGCACGCACGCAGGGCCCCGGCTCCTAGGAGGCGCTCAATGAATACTCACTGTCATTGTCATTATTATTATTATTGTTATTATAACTGTCCCCATTTTAGAGATGGGGAATGGAGACATCATTCATGCCGCTACGCCAAGGTCACACCAGGAGTGAGTGAGTGAATGCCGGTGGGGTTTTGAACTAGGTCCCTCGCCGGGGTCCCTCTTACCACGGGACCCCGCTGCTGTCCCTGTTTCCAAGGCTGCCTTGGATTCGTGGCCGCCTGCCTTTGAGTCTCTGTAAAGCTGAGGGGGTGTTTCTCTCCTCGTAGGTGGCCTTCCCTTATGAAACACTACAGCCCCACCGACTACGTCAATTGGTTGGAAGAGTATAAAGTTCGGCAAAAAGCTGGGTTGGAAGCGCGGAAGATTGTAGCCTCGTTCTCAAAGAGGTTCTTTTCAGAGCACGTAAGGATCTGTTGATGTGGCTCTAAGCTTTGGCCTGCTGGTGTATGTGTCTGGGTCTGCAGGCATGAGCTCATCCAGCTCTTTTTCGTATCTCCCTTTTCAATGCTCTCACAATCCCTTACTCACTTAGATGGCTGCAAGAGTCATTGTGTCCTTTTCCTCCTATCCAACAACACGAAGCCATTTGTCTGTGCCAGCTTTACTTTTCTAAAGCCAGAGAGAGAATGGGGGTGGAGGGAGCAGGGAGGGACCCACGCAGCACAATGTAGACGGAGTCCAGATCAGCATTATTTCTCAAGTGGGTTCAACGGATTTTGTTTGCAACCCCTGCGTTATTTGGGGAATCATCAATGATTGAACACTATAAATTTCTCCCGGTTGTTTTCCCAGAAGGGTTGACGAAATTAATGTGGTTCTTCTCTCTGGCTTTGCAGGTTCTAACCAGTAGTGAACTGCATTATTTGTTAAGGTAACAGAGGATTAAAAGCTACCTACAAATCAGAGTTACTAGTCCCTGAAATAAATTGTCTTTCATTCATTATCCCTGAAAAGTTTTTGTTTGCTTTTTTTTAATATTGCTGAAATACATGGTGGGTTTTTTGGGTTTTTTTCTTTCTTTCTTTCTTCAAAACGTCTCATGGAAGTTTCTTTTTTCTTTTTTTGAGACAGAGTCTTGTTTTGTCTCCCCGGCTGGAGTGCAGTGGCACAATCTCAGCTCACTGCAACCTCCTGCTCCTGGGCTCAAGCAATTCTCATGTCTCAGTCTCCCGAGTAGCCAGGACTACAGGCATGTGCCACCATACCTGGATAATTTTTGTATTTTTAGTAGAGATGGGGTTTTACCATGTTGGTCAGGCTGGTCTTGAACTCCTGGCCTCAAGTGATCCGCCGGCCTCGGCAAACCAAAGTGTTGGGATTACAGGCGTATGCCAGGCCTCACGGAAGTTTCTGTATGTTCTCATCCCTTTTTGTAACTCTGGAAAATAATCCACACTAATGTTTTGAGTTCAACAAACTATTAGATATTTATTTCTGGTTGGGGTTCTAGAAATAGAGCGGATCTGATTTATTTCTCTTTTGTGTTTTACTAAAGACTCCTTTGGATTCTGTAATTTTATTTACTGTTAGTTAATGGAGTTCATAATTTGAAATGTTTTCAAGGCTTTTCAAGTTTTGAAAGGGAAAATTTGAACTTTGGACAAATTTGAATGTTTTCCCCTATGGAGAATACAAATAGACCTTCCTTAGTGTAATTGGTTTCTATAAATATTTATTAGTGTTAGAATAAACAAAATTTGTATTCTACTTTGGAGAAGCCATGCCCTGGCTAAAAGCATTCGTAATCACAAATTGTAAATGCTGATCTGAATGTGTTTGCACATACGTAGATTTTGGTACTAGCTATGTTTGGTGCAATTGGTCATGGACTATGAGCCTGCAACCTCCTCTAGTCCAGCTGGTTTTGTGTATGTTTTGAACAGTCTGTGCCTCTGTGTAATAATGATGGATTGTTGTGTTTTTTCCTCAGCTCCCCCTTTCCCTGTACCACTGCTTAATTAGAAGTATGTCAAGGACTTTGAACACAGCGGGAGCATACTTAACATTAATCTGTGGGTGGGTGATTGCTTTGGCCCAGGATCTTGGTGTTCCTGTGTTCTCGGAATGCACACAGGTTGACCTGAAATGTTCTGGCTACTTGCAAAAAGAAAACTGAGAGAAGCCATAGAATTTTAAACTGAGAAGATTTTTTTTTTTTGAGACGGAGTTTCACTCTTGTTGCCCAGGCTGGAGTGCAATGGCGTGATCGCGGCTCACCGCAACCTCTGCCTCCCAGGTTCAAGTGATTTTCCTGCCTCAGCCTCCCGAGTAGCTGGGATTACTGGCATGCACCACTACGCCTGGCTAATTTTGTATTTTTAGTAGAGACGGGGTTTCTCCATGTTGGTCAGGCTGGTCTCGAACTCCTGACCTCAGGTGATCCGCCCACCTCAGCCTCCCAAAGTGCTGGGATTACAGGCGTGAGCCACCACGCCAGGCCTTAACTGAGAAAACCTTAAAGCCATTTGCACCTGAATTTACAGAGGAGAAAACATGCCCAGTGGATTACAGGAGCTGCCTGATCTACTAGGCTTACCTCCCGGGCCCTCTTCTCTTAGTTGAGTACAGCATAGACTATGTGAAGTAGTCATTAGGAGATTTTGTAGTTCTAGTCCTTGTTCAGGCTGGAGTGCAGTGGCGCAATCTCAGCTCACTGCAGCCTCTGCCTCCTGGGTTCAAGCGATTCTCCTGCCTCAGCCTCCTGAGTGGCTGGGATTACAGACGTGCACCACCATGCCTGGCTAATTTTGTATTTTTAGTAGAGAAAGGGTTTCCTCCATGTTGGTCAGGCTGGTCTCGAACTCCCGATCTCAGGTGATCTGCCTGCCTTGCCCTCCCAAAGTGCTGGGATTACAGGCATGAGCCATCACACCCGGCTGCTGCTGCTGCTTTTTTTTTTTTTTAGACGGAGTTTCATTCTTGTTGCCCAGGCTAGAGTGCAATGGCGCAATCTCGGCTCACTGTAACCTCTGCCTCCCGGGTTCAAGTGATTCTTCTGCCTCAGCCTCCCAAGTAGCTGGATTACAGGCATGCCTGGCTAATTTTGTATTTTTAGTAGAGACAGGGTTGATTGATCAGGCTGGTCTCAAACTCCTTACCTCAGGTTATCCGCCTGCCCTGGCCTCCCAAAGTTCTGGGATTACAGTCAGGAACCACTGTGCCTGGCCAGAGCTAGTTTTCTTTACATTAGAACTCTGAGTTGTCAGTTTCAGAAATTCTAGTCTATGAAAACATAATTGATTGCAAATAACAAGAAGATCTCAGTAAATTATTGTTACTTTATGTTATTTTCTACCCATGACTGGTAGTGCAAGGTAGTGTAGAATAACTGTTAGCACTGTCTTTAGTAGTGGACATCTTTATTTCAACTCAAATTTGTGAGAGTGACAGTTGCATCAATACTCATAATTGAGGCCTACTTGTATATGTCTTCTTCATAGGTTCCTTGTAATGGCTTCAGTGACATTGAGAACCTTGAAGGACCAGAGATTTTTTTTGAGGATGAACTGGTGTGTATCCTAAATATGGAAGGAAGGTAAGCCATAGCTTTAGCAGGGATTTGTTTGTTTTAATAAGTCCAGAATAAATTGCTGTAATTTCTGTGTGGCTAAACCCTGGAACATGTGATTCCAAATATTTCACGCCTGGTCATAGTTACAGTTTTGAAAAGTTCTGTGTATATTAGGTAGATACACCAAGACAATTGACATATAAAGAAACCTTACAAAAATCCTTTTGGAAAGAAAATGGAATTAATGTTTAGCTTTATTGTGGGTCAAATACTGTGCTCCGGACCCTTGTATCTGTTGTGTTGTTTAGAAACCTTCTGGTAATAGGCTGGGCACGGTGGCTCACGCCTGTAATCCCAGCACTTTGGGAGGCCGAAGCGGGTGGATCGTCTGAGGTCAGGAGTTCGAGACCAGCCTGGCCAACATGGTGAAACTCCATCTCTACTTAAAAAAATACAAAAAATTAGCTGGGTGTGGTGGTATGCACCTGTAATCCCAGCTACTCGGGAGGCTGAAGCAAGAGAATCACTTGAACCCAGGAGGCGGAGGTTGCAGTGAGCTGAGATCGTGTCATTGCACTCCAGACTGGGGGACAAGAGCGAGACTTCGTCTCAAAAAAAAAGAAACCTTCTGGTAATAGAAATCATGCTTCCTTCATTATTACCTCTCCACTTACTACCAAATTTGCCTATCATGAATTGAATCTTTTAATTTAAAAATAATAATTTCTTAGGCATGTCTTAATTTAATGGATGATTTTTTACAATTTCTGAATTGTGGTACAAAATAATCTTACCTTGGTCTTTGAACACTGTAGGTCTTTGGGTGAGCCTTTCTTTTATCTTCCAGTCAGAAAACTGTGTACTAAGGGACTCACCTGATCAAGAAGAACCCCTTATTTCTTGGTTATTACTTAAAATTTCATATGCCTTTTATTTTCTGCTGTGAGGGTTAATTTCCAGTTTTTACCTGAAAGATGGCTGGGCTTCCAGCCTAACTTGCCTGTGGAAAAGACTTTCTGCTCTAAAAGTTCTGAAAACTTTCTAGTGATGGAAGATAAGAATGCTAGTTTAACATCTTCCTTAAAAGGAATCTTTGCGAAATATCTCACAAACAAGGGATAAAATATTTCTGTTGTTTTTTAAAGGGGATTTAGGAGAGAGAAATATCTATCAGTGGAACAACTGTGGGTAGAGGTAAGATGTGTCACTATTCTAGGCCTTGGATGAGTTCAGATGCAGAGGTCATTTTTCCATTTCTATTTTGGTTTATCTATAAATGAATTGAAGTATGATCTAGTAGTCAGTATTGTGCAGTCTTCAAAATAAAAGCTGACTTGTGTTTTTTTAATGTGCATATGTACTTTTAAGTACATAAATGGAACCTCATACATACTTTGTTGGTTGTTTTGGTTTGATGTTTAGTACAGACTGGGTTTTTTTCTTATTTATGCTGTTTCCTTTTTCCTCCCTATTCCCTCTGTTTACATTGGCCTTTCCTGCCGCCACCTCTGTAATTCTTGATAACAGCCCAGGTTGCATTCTTCATGCTGGCTGACAGTGATGAGTATGGGAAGGGATCGTTATTGCACAAAATTGGGATCACATAATAGGTACTTTTCTATATTGTGTTTTCTCATTCAACAGTACGTTATGGAAATCCATCCCCTTCAGTGGGTAAAACATCAAAATCACTTTTGTTAATGTCTACTTACTCTTCTGTGGTGCGTTATATAATTTATTTACTTATTTTTATTTTTATTTTTTTGAGATGGAATTTCACTCTTGTTGCCCAGGCTGGAGTGTAGTGGTACGATCTTGGCAACCTCTGCCTCCTGGGTCGAAGAGATTCTCCTGCTTCAGCCTCCCGAGTAGCTGGGATTACAGGTGCCTGCCACCACACCCGGCTAATTTTGTATTTTTAGTAGAGACGGTGTTTCACCATGTTGGTCAGGCTGGTCTCAAACTCCTGATATCAGGTGATCTGCCGGTCTCGGCCTCTCAAAGTGCTAAGATTATGGGTGTGAGCCACTGTGCCCGGCCTACATGATTTTCCTATAGATGGACAACCACTTTATTTTTCCATTTTGTGTCACTGTGAGGAGTGATGTTTCTAGGCAGTAGTCTTGGGAATGGGTTTCCCAGTTCAGACTATAGGTTGTTATTGAAAGACATAAAATAGGCCGGGCGCGGTGGCTCAAGCCTGTAATCCCAGCACTTTGGGAGGCCGAGACGGGCGGATCACGAGGTCAGGAGATCGAGACCATCCTGGCTAACACGGTGAAACCCCGTCTCTACTAAAAAATACAAAAAACTAGCCGGGCGAGGTGGCGGGCGTCTGTAGTCCCAGCTACTTGGGAGGCTGAGGCAGGAGAATGGCGTAAACCCGGGAGGCGGAGCTTGCAGTGAGCCGAGATCGCGCCACTGCACTCCAGCCTGGGTGACAGAGCCAGACTCCGTCTCAAAAAAAAAAAAAAAAAAAAAACAACAACAAAAAAAAGAAAGACATAAAATAGATAGCATGTCCTGGAATGTGAAGACTTACTGTCACAAAAAATGTCAGTTCTCCCCAAATTAATATATAAACCTAGTGTCATTCCAATTAGGATTCAAACAAAGTCTTTTTTTGGGGGGTGGTGAGCAGGGGGGGTTGTTTTGCTTTTTTCTTTTCTTTCATTTAGATGTCATGAAATATATACAGAAGACTAAATTCACAAGAAGAGCCAAAAAACAATCTTTTAGTAATCATAATGGGAAACTGGCATCACTAGATATTAGGCCATCTTAGAAAGCTACTTATAATCCAAACAGCACAGTAATTCAATAAAAATAGCTGCATCAGTAGCAGAGGATAATTGACAGATGCATCCCAGAATAAAAGATAATTTAATATATTTAAACTCAGAGAGAAAAAAATGGATTTTTAAAGAAATGGTACTGGACATAACTGAATATCCATCTGGAAGAAAGGAAAACGTGCATCATATGCAAACATTTTTCCAAAGGATTAAACAACTGAAATTTTTAAGTGATCACAGTGAACATTCCTTAAGAAAATAGGGAACTTCATGTAGTCTAGGGAGACCACCTTAACCAAGAATGACAATGCGGAGGCGGTGAAAGAGCAGACACTTCTATATGGCCAAGAGACCATGAATGAAGTCAGTAGAACTCAAGAGATACTGAAAAACGTGCAAAGGTTAGGAGGATGGCATTCACAGAAGAACAAATCCTAATGGCTAACAATCATGGAAAAAACCCTTTAATGCTCTATTCAAAAAGTATTAAACAGGCCGGGCGCAGTGGCTCACGCCTGTAATCCCAGCACTTTGGGAAGCTGAGTCCGTGGATCATCTGAGGTCAGGAGTTCGAGACCAGCCTGGCCAACGTGGTGAAACCTTGTCTCTACAGAAAAATACAAAAATTAGCCGGACTTGGTAGCAGGCACCAATAATCCCAGCTACTCGGGAGGCTTAGGCAGGAGAATTGCTTGAACCCGGGAGGCGCGGGAGGTGGAGGTTGCAGTGAGCTGAGATCACACCATTGCATTCCAGCGTGGGCGACAAGAGTGAAATTCCGTCTCAAAAAAAAAAAAATAGTGGCCGGGCGCGGTGGCTCAAGCCTGTAATCCCAGCACTTTGGGAGGCTGGGACGGGCAGATCACTAGGTCAGGAGATCGAGACCATCCTGGCGAACACGGTGAAACCCCGTCTCTACTAAAAAAATACAAAAAACTAGCCGGGCGAGTCCCAGCTACTCGGGAGGCTGAGGCAGGAGAATGGCGTAAACCCAGGGGGCGGAGCCAGACTCCATCTCAAAAAAAAAAAAAAAAAAAAAATAGAAGTGTTAAACAACAATGAAGTACTGCCATTTTACGTATCAGATTCCCAAAAGTGATGAAAATGCATATCCAGTAAAGACATATATTATAGTCTTTTTAGAAATAAATACGAATAGGTTACCCCTTGGCCCAACACATATATTTTGACCTTAAAAAAGGATTGTTTGTTTGTTTTAGAAACAGAGTCTCACTCTGTCACCCAGGCTGGAATGCCATGACACAATCATAGCTTACTGCAGAATCAAACCCCTGGGCTCAAGTGACCCTCCTGCCTTAGCCTCCCGTGTAGTTAGGACTACAGGCACTTGCCATTACACCTGGCTAATTTTTTCTATTTTTTGTATAGATGGAGTCTTGCTTTGTTGCCCAGGCAGGTATTAAACTCCTGGCCTCAGGAGATCTTCCCGGCCAGGCATGGTGGCTCACACCTGTAATCGCAGCATTTTGGGAGGCCGAGGCGGGTTGATCACTTGAGGTCAGTGATCCTGGCTACTCGGGAGGCTGAGACAGGAGAAGTGCTTGAAGCCAGGAGACTGAGGTTGCAGTAAGCCGAGATTGCGCCACTGCACTCCAGCCTGGGCGACAGACTTGGTCTCAAAAAAAAAAAAAAAGGATCCTTTTGCTTTGGCCTCCCAATGTGCTGGGATTACAGGTGTGAGCCACCATGCCCAGCCCTGTTTATTTTTTGAGACAGGGTTTCATCCTGTTGCCCAGGCTGGAGTACAGTGGTGCAATCATGGCTCACTGTAACTTGAACTCCTGGGTTCAAGGGATCCTCCGGCCTCAGCCTCCTGAGTAGCTAGGAATATAGGCATGTGCCATCATGCCTGGCTAATTTTTATTTGGTAGAGACAGTGTCTCACTATGTTGCCCAGGCTGGTCTTGAACTCTTGGCTTCAAGTGATCCTCCCACCTTGGCCTTCCAAAGTGCTAGGACTATAAGTGCGAGCCAACAAACAAATAAGATTGTTTTTAAATGATAGAATACCCCACATTTAAAAATATTTTGGGATATCAGTTTTCATGGAAGACCCTATTTGTATTCATTCCTGGCAAATGCTTGTGGTTTGGATATGGAAAGCATGGGAAGGAAAAAGTGTAGTTTCCATAAATACTAAAGCATCAGTTGGAAATCAGTTTGTGTTTATGATGTGCTATGTGGTCTTAAAAAAGAGGATGCCCTACAATAAAGATTAGAAACAGCATAGTAAAAGGGCATACACTGGGCTGGGCGTGCTGGCTCGTACCTGGAATCCCAGCACTTTGGGAGGCTGAGGTGGTCGGATCACCTGAGGTCAGGAGTTCGAGACCAGCCTGGCCAACGTGGAGAAACCTCGTCTTTACTGAAAATACAAAAAATTAGCCGGGCATGGCATGCCTGTAATCCCAGCTACTCAAGAGGCTAAAGCAAGAGAATTGCTTGAACCTGGGAGGCGGAGGTTGCAGTGAGCTGAGATTGTGCCACTGCACCCCACCCTGGGTGACAGAGTGAGACTCAGTCTCAAATAAATAGATAGATGGATTAGATAGATAGATAACTAGATAAATAAATGCATACGTTGTACCCGAGAAAAGTATCCCAGAATGACCAATACTGAGACATATTTTAGTAAAATTGCTGGATTTTAAAGACAGGAAAGTCCTTTGAGCATCCAAGCAAAAAAGATAAAGTCATTTATAAGGAAAAGAAAATGAGAATATCATCAGACTTTTCAACAGAATTTTTTATGCCAAAGGAAAAAATAACTTATTTAAGATACTCAATGATCTAAGGAAAATGTCAGCCAAGGATTTTTATATCCAGCCAAACTGACTTCCAGATATGAAGAGTACACACAAACGTAACAACTTACAAGAATTCAGTGACTTTTCAGTCCTTCCTGAGAAATCTCCTGGAAAATGAATTTCAAATGACCAAAAACCACTCCCCCCACCCCCGACCAAAAAAAAAACAGAAAAACACGGGCAGTGAGCACTAAATATGTATTTGTCGATTTAAATTCAAGTGAGAGTTCTAGGGAAGAAAGTATTGCATGTGTAATGTCTGTAAGACATGTCAGTATAAATACAATGCATCTGTTTAAATAAATGAATGGACAGTGGGGGAGAACATATGCAAAATATTTACCTGTTTTCAGTAATCATAAAAGTGATGAGTAATCCCAGCACTTTGGGAGGCTGAGGTGGGCAGATCATGAGGTCAGGAGATTGAGACCATCCTGGCCAACATGGTGAAACCCCGTCTCTACTAAAATACTTAAAAAAAAAATTAGCTTGGTGGGGTGACACTGTCTGTAATCCCAGCTACTTGGGAGGCTGAGGCAGGAGAATAGCTTGAACCCGGTAGGTAGAGATTGCAGTGAGCCGAGATCACACCACTGCACTGCAGCCTGGCGACAGAGCGAGACTCCGTCTCAAAAGTGATAAGAACATTAGTCTTGTTATTCTGAGGGCTGGTGTGTGTGTATGAGAGAGAGCTGTGGAATGAAGTAAATGAATAACAATGTGATATTCTAATTTTATCACCTGTGATATCCTGGAGAAGCAGAATTCTCCCGGAATAAAGAAGACATAGATATAAGATAGAAGGTCAGAGCCATATATTTTTGAATTAGAAGTGTCAGTATGAACTCAAAAGATATTTTATGTTTAAACGCATGTAGGTGTATGTAAGTGCATGTGCATATGTACATGTACACACAAGTGCACATAAACACTAGGCTTCCTAGGTGTGTCCACTGAAAAGATCTAGAAACAATAACCAACCTAGTGGAATTGATCTTCCCTGGTATCCAGATTGTCATCTTGATACAACATTTTCCACAGAAGAAGCCAGGGTTTTTGAAGAAAGACTGGTTCTGTGTCCAATGCAAGGATTTTAAAAGATGAGCCTGGAGCATCCTGGAAACCTAACCAGATAGTAAGAAAACTGACACTACTTTATGTCGGAAGTATTGAGGAACCAATGTGAAGAGGCTTCCAGTGGCCACAGATGTGACAGTTTGAGCATCAGTGTGGATAATAACAGGAATGGATTGAAATGCGTCGAATATGCTTAGCTCGATGAGTTCATAATCATACTAAAAACAATTGGTCACCTTTGAAGGATAAATAAAAACCCACATCATTATTTTGAAAAAAAAAATTGTAAATGGAAGATATCAGCATTTATCCTGCCTTTTCCATGGAGGTTTTTCCTTATAGAAGTATCACAGCTAATGAAATAAGAAGGGTTGGTTGAATTCTAATGTCACCACTTTGTAACGTCAAATGAATTAACAGATCAAGACATTGCGTAGCAGTGCTGCTGACATCACAAAAGAGACACCCAGGCATTATTGCCTCCTGATGGGAGAATGCACTACCTTCTATGAAGTTGTCTTGCTAAATTAATGAAATCTGTATCTCATGTAGCCTCTACATCCAATTTACAGGCGATCAGAAGACAGAAGAACATGTTAAACTACATCATGTGGGTACAGTCAGCAAATTCCAGATGATGGGAAACTGCAGGTCTAACAACCCAGATTCTTCAACAAATAAATTGCAAGGGGAAAAAAAGATGGAGGAGGATCCTGTAGATTAAGAGATTTAAAAGACATCAAAACAGTCTCGCCTGTTTAGGGATGCATATTTCATGGTAATACTAAAGAGAAAAGCAAGAAAGTGATAATCATAGAGGTGTGGTTTGTGATTATTGTTGAGGGGGGCCCCAGAGGGCTTCTTGGCTGTTTGCAAAGTTTTCTTTTTTCTTTCTTTTTTTTTTTTTTTCAGACGAGTCTCCCTCTGTCGCCCAGGCTGGAGTGCAGTGGCACCATCTTGGCTCACTGCAAGCTCCGCCTCCCGGGTTCACCCCATTCTCCTGCCTCAGCCTCCCGAGTAGCTGGGACTGTAGGCGCCCACCACCACGCCCGGCCAATTTTTTGTATTTTTAGTAGAGATGGGGTGTCACTGTGTTAGCCAGGATGGTCTCGATCTCCTGACCTTGTGATCCGCCCGCCTCGGCCTCCCAAAATGCTGGGATTACAGGCGTGAGCCACCCACCGTGCTGGCCACAAAATTTTCTGTCTTGGCAAGAGTGGTAGATCCAGGAATGTGTCTTATAATGATTCATTAAGCTACTTGTTTGTTTCACACAATTTTCTAGACTGATGTGTTGTACAACTCAAAGATTAAAAAGTAGATAAAACATAGATCATTCTGCAGGTTTTCATTGACCTCCCTCAAGATTGGCAAGTTGTTTGTTTCTTCATGATGTCAGCCAGATAAGTTTCATCACTGTCTCTCTCCTATTTCTTATAATCCCCATATATATTTGGGATATGTGGTGAAGAATTTTATTCACTCAACAAGTGTTATGGAACATCTACTATGTGCCAAACGCTATTCTAGGCACTGGGGATACAGCAATGAACAACACACAAAAAAATCCCTGCCTTCATGGGGCTTATACTGTAGTGGGGGAGATAGGCACTAAGAAAAATAAGAAATTGGTTACATTAGAAAATGAAAAATGCTATAGAGAAATATAATCGGGGAAGAAGACAGGGGAATGGTGAGGTGGTGCCATTTAAAATAATGTAGGGGGCCTTACTCAAGGGGACATTTGAGTTGAAACCTAGGAGGAGGTGAGAACAGACTGCAGTCTCCGGGGAGAATGTACCAGGCAGAAGGAACAGGGCACTAAGGTGAGCACCCGCTGGAGAGTAAAGGAACAGCTGGAATGCTTGGGTGGCTGGACTGAGGGGGAGTGGCAGGAATTGGAGTCAGAGAGGTAATGGGGCGAGAGTTCAAGAGACCTTTTAGGTCCTCATTAGGACTGGGCTTTTTCTTGGAGCAAGGTGGGAAACCACTGGAGACTTGGAGTCGAGGATTGGGTGACATGACTGTACATGTTACTGGAGTGCTCTGGCTGCCGTATTGAGGATAGAATGGAGGGGCCAGGTCTGAAGCGGGAAGCCGAGGTAGGAGGATGTTGCTGCAACACAGAGAAATGCTGATGGTGGCGTGTGGGAGTAATTGGGAAGTGTGCACATTTTGGATGTAATTTGAAGATAGTACTGATAGCTTTGGCTGACAGGTCTCGAGTATGGCTTATGAGAGAAAGCAAGGCATCCAGTATGACTTGCAGGTTTTTGGCCTTACTAGAATGATGGAGATGCCTTGATCTGAGATGAGGGTGACTCTGGGAGGGGAAGAAAGATGAAGGTGCTCAGCTCTCTAAGCGGGATGTAGAGTAGATGGATAATAGTTGATATACAGGTCTGGAGTTCAAGAGAGAACTCTGGTCTGGAAAATAGGAGTTTTCATAATATGTGAAGCCATGAGGAACTCACTGTGGCAGTGAGTGCCCAGGCCCAAGTGGCCCAAGCAGGGGGACCAGCAAAGGATTCTAGATGCCTCCCCATCTTCTGAACCTTCCCCAGCTCAATTCCTTTTTCAGGCTGCTCTTCCATTTCCTTTTACCAAAGATACAGGCAAGTAAGTCTGAAGCCAGGCAGATAACTGTTCCTCCAATTTCAGTACAACTAATTTAGTATTATATTACAATTCAAAGACTGCTATCTACTTCCATCATAATTATTATAAGATAATGAACCAATCATATTTTTCTTGTTCAGCAAACTACATGGTATGTTAGTGTAATGTAAAAAATAGATAACTGAAAATTTTCAAATCTTAATTCTTACTGACTTGTTTGTTTCCAGAAAAGCTTTGACCTGGAAATACTACGCGAAAAAAATTCTTTACTACCTGCGGCAACAGAAAATTTTAAATAATCTTAAGGCCTTTCTTCAGCAGCCAGATGACTATGAGTCATATCTTGAAGGTGGGTATTTTCCCATATATGTGGACAGTAGTATTTCTATAGGTAACTGATTAGTTTTTTAAGACCAGCAGAGGGAATCGTTGTGTTCCTTGTGGTAAAGTGGAAAAGTAAATCATGTTTCGTGGGCTTCTGCAGATTGGATTATAGGGCCTGACCAATGAGGTAGTTCAAACTATTAAATTTAGAGCTAAGATTTTATCAAAGTCCACTAAAGAAATAGTGTTTTTTAAAGATGCATCATTGGCTTAAAGTGTGAGAGTGATACTTTAGCTAATGAAGTAAATTCCTATTTTTCTGAGCTTTAAGGCATAATTTCCAAATCAGAAGTAAATGTATCCAATTTTGTCTCCCTGTGACCTTCAGTAAATCCCTTAACCTCCCGGGTTGGAGTTTATTGAGGACAGAATGTTCTTGGGCATCAGTGAGTCTGCTTGTCCATAATGAAAGGTGAGAAGGAAGAAGTTGAGTGGACAGGCAAGAAGAAAGGAGTGGAGAATCTTTTTGTTCTTATTAAGTTGAACAGGAACAAAGTGAGACTTCCATTTTTTTTTAAATGATTTTGAATTCCTAAAATATTACACAAACATTCCCATACATTATGGTTATGAAATGTAAATATGACTGGTCATTTACTTTTATTCCCTACCTCTGGTGATTTACCAGATTGTTGATTTTTTTGCATTCCAGTGTATCTCATAGTCATGTTCCTATTTTGTTACTATTTTTTAAAAAAATTATGTATTTATTTTTAGAGACGGGGTCTTGCTGTGTCACCTGTGCTAGGTTCAAACTCCTGTGCTCAAGTGTCACCACACCTGGCTGGCTTCTATAACTAGTCTCATGCAGTCTATGGCTGCCTCTCCTGGCAACAACTTTCTGAGTAATACTTGATTTCATGAACATTATCCCCTCTTCCCTCCAAGTCAGCCAGTATATCAGTGCCAGCCCAATTAGAAACCTATCTTTCACCACTGCATGTGAAACCTGCAGTGTGGACAACTGATTTCCCTTTTATATTAAACCTCTACCTGCTTTTCATTGCCCTGCATGATCTGCTCCAGACCTATGCTCCGTACTCTCCAGGATGTCCCATTTGCTCCAGCCAGGCCATTGTCTAGACTGGTGCCCCACAAATACACCTGGCTTCACTTCCTCATTCATGATATCCCTCCTCCTCATAATCCCTCTTGAAAATCCTACTCCCCTCCATAATTCAGCTCAAGCCTCACTTCCATTAAATTTCCACTGACTACTTGGAGATTTTATTCACCTCAGAGATACAGCAGCATTTAATAGTAAACTGTCTTGCATTTTTTCTGTTTCCTGTGTATACATTTTGTTTCTGTAACTAGTCCCTAAGCTTCATGTGTTGTGGTCCTTGTGTTAGGATCACTGTATACCCCACAATGCTTAGTGTAAATGCGTATCAAGTGTATGAAAACCTAATATCATCCAAAAGGAAGTGAAACATCTCACCACCCTAGAATCCCCTCATTTGTATACTGGAGTTGAGAAGCATCCTATCTTCTGTTATTTCACAGTTAAGAGTAGTATATAAATAAATATATATATATATATATATATATATATATATATATATATATATTTGTAGCTTATGTATGAAAACAAATACGCCTTTTTCATTTTCTAAATACAAAGTTATAATTTTCGAAGAACTTCCACATCAGTGTCATAAGCATTGGGAAGCCATTGGAAATTGTTTAGTAGTTGAGTGAATGACAGTTGACTCTCCAAGGTTCTGATCCTTGGTGAGTGACTAGAATAATGCTGATGCCATCAAAGAAGTCTGGGAATCATAGCATTAGGAAAGAACAGACTTCAGAAATGTGCAGCATAAACTGCTTCAGCCTCCAGGTAGGGAAGCTGGGGCCCATGGAGGCCCAGGAGCCAGTCCCTGGCTGGTGGCAACACTGGGACTGGAGTCGAGGTGTCTTGACACTCATTCAACTGCTTTCAGCTCTGGAGCATTGGTAAGGGGGTCCAGGTTCTGAGCTGGTCTGGGATCTCTTGAATTTAACGTGACTGGAGAGCTTCCCACGTAACGGTGTCCTTACCCAAATGATGCCGTTAGCCCTTCAGTCTCTGCTTCCAAAATTGCCTAAGACTGTGAAGAGGAGTGATTCTTAAGAGACTGTCTGCGGTGTGCTTTGTACAGCTTTTCAGCTGTACGTTCCCTGAGCATAATTTGTTATCTCATTGGAAAGTAGGGTTAGCTCCAGAGTCCATTTACTGTTCGCCCTTGAGAGGTGTAATCTGTTGAAATGGCACATCTGTCATGGAGGGCTTTCAGAAATTTTTTTTTTTCTAAAGGAACTGCCTTATACCATTAAGTTTTCAGAGTTGTTGGATTTGGAACCTATAAGAGCTAGGGAGAGAGAAGTAGCTTGAAAAGATCTCCTCGATGTCATTTACTTCTCTTTGTAATAGAATATGAGACTGTGCCATATACCATGCAGTTTTTTAGTCCATGACTTCTGAGAGAAGTTTGGTTTGTGTATTTATTTTTTTAAAAGTGTAAGCTACTTTGTTATGAAAATGTTTGTTGCTCCTTCTCAGTGTGTTAGCAGTAAGGTCCGCGGCCAAAACATGAAGCTTATCCAGTGGGATGGTGTAAAGAGCCATGTCCCAGGATGTCCAGGGTAAAATGCCAACCTAATAAGAAAAGGGTAACGTAAGAATTTATTCGGTAATTCTTGTTCATTTTCAGGTGCTGTATATATTGACCAGTACTGCAATCCTCTCTCCGATATCAGCCTCAAAGACATCCAGGCCCAAATTGACAGCATCGTAGAGCTCGTTTGCAAAACTCTTCGGGGCATAAACAGTCGCCACCCCAGCTTGGCCTTCAAGGCAGGTGTGGCATTGCTTTGGATCCAGCTGTATTTACGAAAGAAAATCTAGAGGAATTGGTTACTTTGAGTTGAGAGATTTGTTAGTGTGCTCCCATTATGTCACGAAAAAGTGATAAAATGATGTGACCACGTGTTTACGTGGTTGAAGTGTTGAACCTAAAACAGTTCAAATACATACTGCCTTCTGCTTCCTAGATTGGCAACACTTGATTAATATTGCTAGGCCATTACCAATGTCTTCATCTTGTGGGTAGTTTGGGGCACCTGTCACAACCTTATTTGTGCTTGGGTCCAGAGTAGATCTCTGTGTTTCAGGTGAATCATCCATGATAATGGAAATAGAACTCCAGAGCCAGGTGCTGGATGCCATGAACTATGTCCTTTACGACCAACTGAAGTTCAAGGGGAATCGAATGGATTACTATAATGCCCTAAACTTATATATGCATCAGGTAAATATAGGTACATAGTATATTACCATAGTAATATAGGTATAGTAATTTTATTTTCTTTTTTTAGAGACAGGGTCTTGCTCTGTTGCTCAGGCTGGAATGCAGTGGCGCAATCATAGCTTACTGCAGCCTCAAGCTCCTGGGTTCAAGCGATCCTGCCGCATCACCCTCCTGAGAAGCTCGGACTATGTGCCACCATACCGGCTAATTTTTTATTTTTTGTACAGATGAGGTCTTGCTGTGTTGCCCAGCCTGGTCTCAAACTCCTGGCCTCAAGTGATCCTCCCGCCTTGGCCTCCCAAAGCGCTGGGATTATAGGTGTGAGCCACTGTGCCCATCCTATATGTATTTTTTTAAGCTTCTGTCTGATAGACCGTACATTCTTGAAGGCCAGTACCATGCCTTCCATCTCTGAGTGCTCAATGAAACTTATTTTTCCTTCTGCTTTAAGGATATTGTTGTGGAGTTTGTCTGTTTTCTCGTAGAGTATCCTCCATATGCAAACGCTTGAGATAGATTTTTGACTAAAAGTAGATATTCTCTGACTCTTCTTTGGTCGGTTTGTATCTCATGACACTAAACTGTGGAACTAATCAGGGTCCTCTTTTTGCACTGGCCTCTAGCCATTTTGGGGAACCTGTGGCCCAGCTGTGTCAAGTTTGCATCTGTTATATTTATTTTTTATTTGCTTTCTGCCTAGTTCTATTTTCATATTTATTTTGTTGCCCTATCTGCTACTTTTATTTTGCTATGTTGTACACGCTTTTCCTTGAAACAGTTTTAAATTCTTTCTGGAAAAAGGAGGGCCTAAATCAGGGCTTGACCATCTTTTCCTATAAAAGGCTAGGCAGTAACTTATTTCAGCTTTGGCCAGGTGTGGTGGCTCATGCTGCAATCCCAGCAGTTTGGGAGGCCAAGGTGGGTGGATCACCTGAGGTCAGGAGTTCGAGACCAGCCTGGCCAACATGGTGAAACCCCGTTTCTACTAAAAATAGAAAAAAAATTAGCCAGGCGTGGTGGTTGCCTGTAATCCCAGCTACTTGGGAGGCAGAGGCAAGAGAATCGCCTGAACATGGCAGGTTGCAGTGAGCCAAGACTGTGCCATTGCACTCCAGTCTGGGCAACAGAGTGGGACTCCATCTCAAAAAAACAACAACAAAAAAAAATTATTTCAGCTTTGAGGGCCATGTGGTCTCTGTTGTTAACCACCAAGTTCTGCCACTGTGGTGTAAAAGGAGGCACAGATAATGTAAAAACAGCTGAATGTGGCTGTGTCCAACAAAACTGTATATATGGTCATTGAAATTTGAATTTCATGTTACTTTCATATGTCCTTGAATAGTATTAACTATTTTTTCAAACATTGAAAAACAAAACTTTTTCTTACACAAGCTGTACAAAAATAGCCGGTGGACCGGAATTGCCATGGACTATAGTTTACCGACCCCTGACCTAAATAAGTGAAATACTCACTTAAGCCTCACAAATGAGCATCATGCCCAATGCAAAATAGGTGCCTAATGAGAATGTTTATTGAAAGAATGAGAATGTATAGTTCATCCCAGTGAAGTAAAAGCATTTTTTCTGCTTTAGGTTTTGATTCGCAGAACAGGAATCCCAATCAGCATGTCTCTGCTCTATTTGACGATTGCTCGGCAGTTGGGAGTCCCACTGGAGCCTGTCAACTTCCCAAGTCACTTCTTACTAAGGTGGTGCCAAGGCGCAGAAGGGTGAGCATCTGTGACTCATTATCTGTGGTCCTGAAGATTTGATCCCTCTGTGCTGAGAGGCAGTCTGATTTTCAACATCAAGTTGGGTGTTACCACCCAGGTTAAAAACGGGACTAGGGTGGTGATGGAACTGTTTTGTTTCCTGGCTGTATCAGTGTCAGTATTCTGGTTGTGTTATTATACTATAACAGTTAGGATGGTACCATCAGGGGAGACTGGGAAAAGGGTTCTCTGGATCTTTCTGTATTTATTAAAACTGCATGTGTGAATCTACAGTTAACTCGAAAAGTTTAATTTTAAAAAATAAGACTCTGACTTCAGGGTCTTATGTGGTTCTCAGAGTCCCTTTGTTTCAAAGCAGATCAGATCAAAGAGTTCTTAAAGAAATTATTTCTTTTTATTCTTCTGTAAAATCTCCCTCTTTGTCCCACATGAGTGGGAGAGGAAGAGAGGAAGGGAGGGAAAGAAAGCTGGGGAGATGGAACAGGGTGGCCATGTTCCCCTTCAGGCAAGGTTGGTGACTGATGAGAATTTTAGAGACCTGGTTACTGAGTACTGTTTTGTTCTTTTTTAAACCTAGTGCTCTGTAGGGCAAAAAGCTCCTTTTCAGTTATAGTCTAGCTTTTCTGAAAGAAATAGTTCAACAGATGGAAATATATTCTCATTAAATCTACAATTTAGGGGAAAAGAAAAAAGTTATTTACCTATGTCCTGATCTTTGAAACTCTGTCTTAATGATTAACTCTGAAACCCTTTAGTGATGAATTGTGTGATAGAAAGTACTAGAGCTTTGAAGTCAAACTGGGCTCAAACTTTACCTTCCTCTGAGGAGGCCTCAGTTTCTTCCTTGGTAAAATGGATTAATGTTTTTTATAAAGCAGCTTGGAAGATTAAATGAGATTATCCAGTATATTATATACCCAGGAGAGTTTCTGATGTGGCATAGCAAAAAAGTACAATTGATCTCTGTTCCTACCTCTTAGTTTAAGAAATAAAACATTACATATTTAGTTGAAGCCTCCCAGGTACTCTTCCTCATCCCTTTCTCCTCTCCAGAGCTAACCACCAGTTTGAAAGTGTTTGTTATTTCTTTTTTCTTTTTTTTTTGAGACAGGGTCTGGCTGTGCCACCCAGGCTAGGGTGCATTGGCACAATCTTGGCTTACTGCACCCTCCATCTCCTGGACTCAAGCCATCCTCCCACCTCAACCTCCCTAGTAGCTGGGACCACAGGCATGCACCACCACAACCTGGCTAATTTTTTTGTAGAGACAGGGTCTCACCATGTTGCCCAGGCTAGTCTTGAACTCCTGAGCTCAAGTGATCGGCCTGCCTCAGCCTCCCAAAGTGTTGCGATTATAGGCATGAGCCACCACGCCTGGCCATGTTTATTTCCATGAAAATGTTTATGGTTCATTACTTCTGTATGTTGCATTAAATAACTGCAGGCTTCCCTTGTGTTCCAGATAATGTGTTTCTGAGGATGTACTGAATGGTTTAATTTTTGGATAGTGGGGACCCAATTTCCATTATTTTAAGTGGAAAAAATGATTTTTCGTCCCATTCCCTTTCTCCAAATAACCCAACCAATCTTCCCAGGTATCTCCGAAATATTCTTAAATGCCTATGTAATAATGCACCAAAGATTTCTGTACAATATAAAACATTTAAAACACCAATTGCCATGTCATTTGCCATGATAACTTACTACAGGGTAGGATTGTATGCAGTTAACATCATTTTTCCTTCTTGGGCTACAGTGGACATATACTGTAATGCAAATGAACAAGGAAATAATTTAATACCCCCCCGACATGTGACAGAAACTAGCACTGAGCCCCATAAGGGACTCAGCCCTCAGGGACACGGCAGGAGCTTCTGGGCTATACGGCCCTTTCTCTCTTTTTCTCTGCTCTTTGCCTTTGGCCACTTTGCTCTGTCCCTGTACCAGGACCGTATTTTCTTAAGCACTGCAACTTTATAATTATCCCTGATATCTGAAAGGATGAGACTCCAGCTAGTTCTTCAAAATTGCCTTGGCTGTTTCTAGCTTTTGCTCTCCATATTGATTTAGAATCAATTTTGTCAGGTTCTTTGGAACCCCTTTGTGTCTGTTGATTGGAGCCAGGGATTACTTTGAATTGGAGTTCTAGATTAACAGGAGGACATTGCCAGTGTCTCGCTATCAGTCTTATTATGAACATGGACCACTCTGTTTGTTTAGGTTGTCATTACTGGCCTTAAAAAGATTTTATCTTTTTCTTCATCAAGCTAGCATCTTGTTAGATTTATTGTTAGGTACCTTCCTTTTTTTTTTTTTTTTGCAGTTGTAAATGGTAATTTTTAAGATTACATTTTTTAAGTATTAATGGTATGCAGAGATATGCTTGCTATCTAGATACAGTTTTGATTTTCAGTGCCTTGGCTGAATAAATCATTGGTGCTAATAATTTGTCCATTCCTGGCTGTTCTCTGTGGATAATCATAGTATCTGTGAATAGTGACAGTTTGGTTTCTTCTTTTTATAACTCCTATATATCTGTTTCTTTTTCTTGCATTACTCTGCTAGCTAGATCTTTTTGTACAAAGTTGAATAAAAACAAAGATAGCAGGGACTCTTGCCTTGGGTATGACTTTAAATGGAATGCTTTTAAAATTTCAAAGCCAGGCACGGTGACGCACGCCTGTAGTCCCAGCTGCTTGGAAGGGTGAGGTGGGAGGATTGATTGAGCCCAGTAGTTCAAGGCCAGCTTGGGCAACATAGCAAGACCCTGTATCAGAAAAAGAAAACAAAAATTCACCATCAGGCATGCTGTTGGGAGCAGTTAGGGATTATGAAAGCTACCATCTACATTCCTACTTTGCTAAGTTTTCTTACTATCTAGGCATTAGATTTTTTTTGTATTTTCAGAATTCTTTTTCTGTGTCTACACGTATAAGGTTTTTCTCTTTTAGTTTATATGTTTAGAAATAGATTTTTTTGTTGTTGTAATAGAAGTTCTCTTTTTTAACTTTTGAGGTCTGGTGTACATGTGCAAGTTTGTTACATAGGTAAACTTGTGTTATGGGGGTTTGTTGTGCAGATTATTTCATGCACGTATGAAGCCTAGTTCCCATTAGTTATTTTCCCTGATCCTCTCCCACCGCCCACCCTCCGATAGGCCCCAGTGTGTGTTGTTCCACTCTGGGTCCGTGTGTTCTCATCACTTAGTTCCCACTTACAAGTGAGAGCATGCAATATTTGGTTTTCTGTTCCTGTGTTAGTTTGCTAAGGATGATGGCTTCTAGCTCCATCCACGTCCCTGCAAAGGACATGATCTTGTTCCTTTTTGTGGCTGCATAGTATTCCATAGTATATATGTATCATATTTTCTTTATCTACTCTATCACTGATGGGCATTTAGGTTGATTCCATGTCTTTGCTATTGTGAATAGTGCTTCAATGAGCATATGTGTGCACGTGACTTTATAATAGAATGACTTATACTCCTTTGGGTATATACGCAGTAATGGGATTGCTGGGTCAAATGGTTTAGCTGTCTTCAGACCTTTGAGGAATCATCACACTCTTCCACATGGTTGAACTGATTTACACTCCCACTAACAGTGTATAAGCATTCCTTTTTCTCCACAACCTTCCCAGCATCTGTTACAAAATAGATTTTTGCATATTTAACTCTCCTTCCATTGTTGCAGCACATCTAACTTAATCACTTATTTGTAAAATACATTGCTGCATTTGATTTACTCATGTTTTATCCAGGATTTTTGCATTTATGATAGCTCATAAATGATCTTGGCCTAGAAATTTTTGTACATTTGTCCTTAGGAAGTTTTAGCCTCATAAAAACAGTTGAAGAGTTCCTTGTTTCTAGAACATTTATATAATTCTTTTTTTTTTGTACTTTCCTCATAGGTTTATTTATTTTATTTTTGTTTTTTATTTTTTTGAGATGGAGTCTCACTCTGTCGCCCAGGCTGGAGTGTAGTGGTGCAATCTCAGCTTACTATAACCTCTGCCTCCTGGGTTCAAGTGATTCTCCTGCCTCAGCCTCCCAAGTAGCTGAGATTTCAGGCACACACCACCATGCCTGGCTAATTTTTGTATTTTTAGTAGAGACGGGGTTTTACCATGTTGGCCAGGATGGTCTCGATCTATTGACCTCGTGATCTGCCTGCCTCAGCCTCCCAAAGTGCTGGGATTACAGGCGTGAGCCACTGCACCCAGCCATATAATTCTTATATCTTTGCTAAGGGTAGGTTATAAATATAACTCAAGGAGGAAATTCGATTGGACTTTTTTAGCAGCCAAAGAGAGGAATATGCTGATTTGTAGTGGGCTTGAAATATAAGATGAAACAATAGCTCATAAGAAACACAAGTATCTCTGAAACAGAGCCACCTGAATCCCGTCCATGAGTCCTCGCAGAGAGTGGGCCTGGCAGTTCGGTGAGAGCTTGCATCATGTGACCACTGCTCAGCATTGTGCTCAGCAAGGGCCAACCCCAGCGTGCTAGTGCAGGTCACAGAAGGCAGGCCTACAAGAGGAGCTGTGTGATCGAGGCGAGGGGCACAGCTCTCTGTGCTCTAGCGCAGGGTTCCCAGCCCAAGGCTGTGATGGGCTCAGCAGGTCTCTGACCACCTCAGTGTATCAGCAGAACTGATGGCCGAATCCTTCTGGTGTGAGGTGCTGTAACTTTCTTTTTTTTGAGACAGAGTCTCGCTCTGTTGCTCAGGCTGGAGTGCAGTGGCGTGATCTCAGCTCACTGCAGGCTCCAGCTCCCAGGTTCACGCCATTCTCCTGCCCCTCAGCCTCCCAAGTAGCTGGGACTACAGGCGCATGCCACCACAGCTGGCTAATTTTTTGTATTTTTAGTAGAAACGGGGTTTCACTGTGTTAGCCAGGATGTTAGTCACGATCTCCTGACTGTTTGATCCGCCCGCCTTGGCCTCCCAAAGTCCTGGGATTACAGGCGTGAGCCACCACGCCCAGCTGAGGTGCTGTAACTTTCATCAGATCATCCAGGGCCCAGGATCCACAGATTGTTACCTGCTGCTAATCTATGGAATTAACAGACTGCCTCAGGCATTCCATGAATCATTATCTTAGCCGAACTTGTAGATACTCCTGGCAGTGAGTTGCTATTAGATGACATACATCGGTGCTGTTTCTTAAATGTCAGTGTGCTGTGGTCTTGACAGAGCAGAGCTTGTACAAAGGGGTCAGATTTTAAACTTGGACAAGACATTCATATTTTAAGTAGAAATGTTATGGTCTCAACCTTCAGCCCATGATTTGAGCTACTTATTGTGGAGACTTAAAATAATGAGTTGTTCAGCTCTCATCTGATATTTGGCTCTTTGGATAGGGCGACCCTGGACATCTTTGACTACATCTACATAGATGCTTTTGGGAAAGGCAAGCAGCTGACAGTGAAAGAATGCGAGTACTTGATCGGCCAGCACGTGACTGCGGCACTGTATGGTGTGGTCAATGTCAAGAAGGTGTTACAGAGAATGGTGGGAAACCTGTTAAGCCTGGGGAAGCGGTAAGGTTTTCTTGGTTTTCTAGTATTTCTGCAGAGCACATGTCTTTAGAAGCTTGAATTGTGTTTGAGATGTGCCAAGTGACTTTTCTTTGAGATCTTTGCAGTAGGCACTGACAAGTTCTCTTTGCGAGTACTGAAAGCATTCTTCAGTAACAAGAATATCTTAGACTGGGAAATATTATTTTTCAAGGGCAAGATCTTCTCGTATCCAAATGCTTTGCCATCTTTTAATTTATACCTTCCTATCATTAGATAAGAAAACAAAAATATGAAACTGTCTTGTTTCTAAGTCCAAGGAAATTTGTCCTATAGGGAAAGTAGAAAGTTGTAGGCTGTATATTATAGTAATAGTTTTCTGTCTAATGACATAATTCTTTTTTGAATAGACTATTTTTTAGAGCAGTTTTAGGCCAACTGCAAAATTGAGCAGAAAGTACAGAGAGTTCCCATATCCTCCCTGCCCTACACATGCACAGCCTCCATCACTGTCAGCATCCACACCAGAGCGGTGCATTTGTTGCAGCCAGTGAACCTGCACTGACACATCATTATCACCAAGAGTCCAGTTTCCATGAGGGTTCACTCTTGGTGTCATATATTCTGTGTGTTTGCACAAACACATAATGACATGTGTCCCCCTTTATAGTATCACACAGAGTAGTTTCACTGGCCAAAAATATCCTCTGTGTTCTGCCTACTCATCATTCTTTTTTTTTTTTTTTTTTTGAGACAGAGTTTCGCTCTTGTTGCCTAGGCTGGAGTGCAATGGCGTGATCTCAGCTCACCGCAACCTCTGCCTCCTGGGTTCAAGCGATTCTCCTGCCTCAGCTTCCTGAGTAGCTGGGATTACAGGCATGTGCCACCACGCTCGGCTAATTTTTGTAGTTTTAGTGGAGACAGGGTTTCTCCATTTTGGTCAGGCTGGTCTCGAACTCACAACCTCAGGTGATCCGCCTGCCTTGGCCTCCCAAAGTGCTGGGATTACAGGCGTGAGCCACTGTGCCTGGCCTTCAGAATTCATTTTTAATTAGGTACAGTGTTATTGCTCTGATTGCTTAGTAAAAATGCTTCTGATTTTCATTTAGTACCCATCACCAAAGTAGGGTACAAGATTTATATTTATTGTATTTTTTTTTTTTCTTAAGAGTATTGTTGAACAGAGGAGAAATACCAGAATCAGAAAACGTTTGGGATTTGTGTCAATTCTATTTAAAACCTGGGCCTGGAGAAAGAGAGTCTTTGCTGAAAAAACAAGCAGGATAAGACAAAGATTGTTTTTCCTCTGCTAGGGAAGGCATCGACCAGTCGTACCAGCTCCTGAGAGACTCGCTGGATCTCTATCTGGCAATGTACCCGGACCAGGTGCAGCTTCTCCTCCTCCAAGCCAGGCTTTACTTCCACCTGGGCATCTGGCCAGAGAAGGTAATTATTTTACCTTGATGCTTTGCACTTGCCTTAGAAAGGGAAGTCCTAGATTGAAGGGTGCCCGTGACAAGCTTCTCTTTGTGTTAACATGGGGAATAAACACACATTTATTCAGTCTCTCAATCATAACCCATCAGTAGATTTTTTTTTTTACCTCTCTTATTCTAAGGAAAATTGGTTCTATTGCCAGGAATTGCCTGTTCTCTTTGTGGTCAGCTTCTTAAACCCTAGAACCACAAAGCCTCTGTCCCCACTACTCACCCATGGGGGCCCTAAGATCGTTTTCCCCGAGTCACCGTCACTCAGCAACGGAAAGCAAAGCTGTAAATGGTCAACCTCCAGCTGTACTGTTAACTACATTGGCCATGAATAAGTACTCCTGTTTGACACAGGAAAATTGGATCTTAGATATGTTCAACTTGAGCCACTAGAGTAGAGAAGGGCTATTTGGAAACCATTGAATTTTGACACTGTTTCACTTGAATTTTCTCCGTTTTTTACTGGCCCCCTTTGGGCAGCAGCATGCGCTTTCAGAAGGCTGTGGTGTTGACCTTGCGAGCTGTGTGGATGCAGCATGTAGAGAGGCCCGCTGTGTATAACGGTGCAGGAGCCAGCCGCACATTCCCACCGTGCCCTGACTCTTCTCTAGAAATATGTGAACAGTCCTTTTTGTTTGTTTAGAGCAGAATTTAATTCTGAGGTCTCACAGGCCATTAGCATAAACTCATCTCCTTGTGTCATTAGAGAGGGATAAATTCTTTCTTGAAAAAGTGAATATTCTTTTTTTTTTTTTTTTTTTTTTTTGAGACAGAGTCTCGCTCTGTAGCCCAGGCTGGAGTGCAGTGGCCGGATCTCAGCTCACTGCAAGCTCCGCCTCCCGGGTTCACGCCATTCTCCGGCCTCAGCCTCCCAAGTAGCTGGGACTACAGGCGCCCGCCACCTCGCCCGGCTATTTTTTGTATTTCTTAGTAGAGACGGGGTTTCACCGTGTTAGCCAGGATGGTCTCGATCTCCTGACCTCGTGATCCGCCCATCTCGGCCTCCCAAAGTGCTGGGATTACAGGCTTGAGCCACCGCGCCCGGCCGAAAAAGTGAATATTCTAAGTGACTCTACATTGCTTAAACTTAAAGTCTCACTGATTCACAACTTCGAAGATCTAAAATAGTTCTAAGAAACGATGCTTCAGTAGGAAAACCCCAAGGCTCCTGTTTTAAGAAAAGATGTCAGCCGGGCATGGTGGCTCATGCCTGTAATCCCAGCACTTTGGGAGGTTGAAGCAGGTGGATCACTTGAGGTCAGGAGTTAGAGACCAGCCTGGCCAACGTAGTGAAATCCCATCTCTACTAAAAGTACAAAAATTAGCTGGGTGTGGTGGTGGGCACCTGTAGTTCCAGCTACTCAGGAGGCAAGAGAATTGCTTGAACCCAGGAGGTGGAGGTTGCAGTGATTCGATACCATGCCACTGCACTCCAGCCAGGGCAACAGAGCAAGACTCTGTCTCAAAAAAAAAAAAAAAAAGAAAAGAAAAGATGTCATCTGTAGCCCACATGGCAAATGTCCTCCCAGAATATCTGTGTAATGTGGTAGAGGAATTATTGGAAAAGAAAACTCTCCACCAAAGTTACCAACTACTTGTCCAAGATGTAATCATTTATTTTCATTTTATTTATGTGTTTTATTTTTTATTTTTTTTTAAATAGAGACTGAGTTTCACCGTGTTGCCCAGGCTGGGCTAAAGCCAATCTTGGCCTCCCAAAGTGCTGAGATTACAGGTGTGTGCCACCACACCCTGCCTATTTATTTATTTATTTGGGGTTTTTTTGTTTGTTTGTTTGAGATGGAGTCTTGCTCTGTCGCCCAGGCTGGAGTGGAGTGGCATGATCTCAGCTCACTGCAGCCTCTCCCTTCCAGGTTCAAGCAATTTCCCTGCTTCAGCCTACCAAGTAGCTGGGACTATAGGTACACCACCACGCCTGACTAATTTTTGTATTTTTTTTCTTAGTAGAGACAGGGTTTCACCATGTTGGCCAGGCTGTTCTCGAACTCCTGACCTCAAGCGATCTGTGTTCCTCGGCCTCCCAAAGTATTGGGATTGCAGGCGTGAGATACCACACCCAGCCCCTGCCTATTTATTTTTGATACCGGGATATATGTATACTTTTTGCTTTAGACTTGTTAAGGAGTTTTTACGAGATGCCAAGCAAAGCAAGTTTCTTTTTTTCTTTTACTTTTTTCTTTTTTTTTTTTTTGAGACAGAGTCTCACTCTCTTGCCCAGGCTGGAATGCAGTGGCGCAATCTTGGCTCGCTGCAACCTCTGCGTCCCGGGTTCAAGTGATCTTCCTGCCTCAGCCTCCCAAGTGGCTGGGATTACTGGCATGTGCCACCACACCTGGCTAATTTTTGTATTTTTAGTAGAAACGGGGTTTCACCCTGTTGGCCAGTCTGGTCTTGAACTCCTGACCTCAAGTGATCCGCCTGCCTCGGCCTCCCAAAGTGGTGGGATTACCTGCGTGAGCCACCGTGCCCAGCCTGCAAGTTTATTTAAATGTAAATTTTGTAGTTAAATTTTGAGTCATTGGAGAAGTGATGCTATTAACATCCCATTTTAGGGGGAAATCTGCAGAAGCTGAGTTGTCCTCACTTTCCAGACTGGACTCATTTCAGTACTTGGGCTTTACAGACTTACTGGGGACTAACCTTGGTGTCCTCCCTAGTTCCAAAATTGCCACACGCAGAGCATTTTCCCTCATGACATTTGCTGCTGGGGTGCATCTCCTGGGTGACCCCTCATTCAGAGATTAGGGGAGAAAAGTGACTCATTCCCAGTGCACTCGTGACTGCCTACCCTTAATAAATGCATAATCCAGCTAGAGCCCCTGAGACAGCCAAGGAAAACTGTGGGACTCGCAGTGCAGAAGAATCCAGGGGGTGCTGAAGAAATCAGACAAGGTTCCTCTCCAGAGGAGGGGTTTGAGGTGTGACCTTGAAAAATGAAAAACAACTTCAGAGGGTAGAAAAGTAGGTGACTGCGGTCAGTGGGAACAACCTGCACGTGGCCAGGGGTGGGAGGGTGGGGCGCCTGCACATGTCAGCCTAGCACGGATTTATATGCTGATGAGTGTGCAGTTTGAGGTGTATTTTTACGTGTGTGTGTATAATTGTTATGGCGTGTGAGACCAGTTTGTGAAAGGCTTTGACTTTATCAGGTGAAAGGGAGACATTCCTGAGCTGGGAAGGCCTGAAGATTGCCTTGTTGTTAATTGAATTAAATCAGGAAGAGCTAAGAAACACAAGCCCTCTTGGTCACTGTCGCAGTAATCCAAGGTGATGATGGCTGTGATGGACATAGAGAGGGGCAGGATGGTGAGATTTTAAGTCAGGAGGACTGACTGAATGCCTCCTTCCATCTTCTCAGCAGCCCTATAGGGTAGATATTATTTTTATTTTTGCCATGTTGCAAGTAATGAAACAGAGGCAGTGAGAAGTTAAATAACTTAGCCAGGTCTTCTGCACATGCCATGACAGCACCAGGAGTTCAGTGCGGGCAAGGTGATGCCCGAGCCCACCCTACGCGGCATCCCGTGGTACAGTGGACCGAGGCCAGAGCACTTCTGAAGAAGCCAGCACACAGGCACCTTCTCCTTCCTGCTGCCAGACCTGCATCCGCATCATGATCCATAGTTCTCCTTTCCCTCCTTCTCTGCCTTTCAGTGGAAAAGGTATCCTTCCAATTTTCCAAGGCAAACACCTGTCTCTTCTATTAGAAGAAAAACAAAAAGTACTCCCTTTCCGCCCTGCAGGCATTTCCCTGGGTCGCCACCTTTCCTCCTCCCCCACAGCTGAAGCTCCTGGTCTGCCTCCCACTCACTCCCCAGAACATCAGGACCCGTTCCCATGCCTCCTCCACAGGCACTGTTCTTGCCCAGGAAGCCAGTGACCCTCTTTGGCTGAAACCATTCTCCTCATTGATAAATGCAGTAGATACTTTTTCTTTCTGTGTCTTGCCCTGTCACTGCGGGCTACTCCCTTCTGGGAACACTCTGTTCCTTTCGCTCTGTGGTCTCTGGTTCTCAGGCTCTTGCCAGTTCCTCCCTTCAAGGCTAAAGGATGGTTTCCAGACGTCTTGTACCCTGCACCTGTGCCCTAGGACAGTTCCCCTCTTCTTGTGTCAGTTTCTGCCTGTCTCCTGAGGCTGCTGGAGCACTGGACCCTGGGCTCCAGACCAGCATATCCACAGGCCTGCTCCACCCCTGCACGTGACTCTGTCTCCCAGATGGGTGAAAGTCGGTCCGCTGAGGCCAGTACTTCTGCAACTTGAAGCAGCGCCCTGGCCTCCTGCTTGTCCTCCCTCTCTCCACTCTGAGCCCCTGTGAACCCACTCTGTATACAGGCCCGAGGAATCTTAACAAAATATCAGTTAGGGCTGGGCGCGGTGGCTCACGCCTGTAATCCCAGCACTTCGGGAGGCTGAGGCGGGCGGATCACAAGGTCAGGAGATTGAGATCATCCTGGCTAACATGGTGAAACCCCGTCTCTACTAAAAATACAAAAAATTAGCCTGGTGCAGTGCCGGGCGCCTGTAGTCCCAGCTACTCTGGAGGCTGAGGCAGGAGAATGGCGTGAACCCAGGAGGCGGAGCTTGCAGTGAGCAGAGATCGTGTCACTGCACTCCAGCCTGGGCGACAGAGCGATACTCCGTCTCAAAAAAACAAACAAACAAAACCCAAAAAAACAAAATACCAATTAGGTCCCTTCACTGCTTAAACCCCTCAGGGTGGCTCCCCCATTGCCTTGAAGACCAGACTCGCTCTCCTCCGTGTGGCTTTTCGGTTCTCGGCGGTCTGGCCCTGCTTGCCTGATGCTCCCTGCCTCCTGTGGAGCTCCTTGGTCCTCTGCAGCACCCACTTTGTGTTCCTGCGCTGTCTTGCTTCAGTCTTTTGCATGTGCTGCATCTCTGCCCAGGGCCTCTGCTCATCCTCAACTCCATTGGCTGGCTCACTTCTGCCCAGCTGTCAGTTTAGACTTCTGCCTCCTCCAAAACCCCTTCCTTGGTTCCTGTGCGTGGCCAGGTCACGTTTTTCCGTCATTCCTGTGCTTGCCCTTCCTAGAGCTTCATCCAGTCTCTGGTAACTGCTGCTCCATCATCCGTCTCCATTAGAGCATGTTCTTTAAGGACAAGGACCAGGTCTCCTTCCTAACTGTCGCCTTCCCCATGCTCTCAACACAATTCATGGCCCATGATAGGAACTCAAAAATGTTTTTAAATGAATAATTAAGAAATGACTGCCAGGTGTGGTGGCTCATGACTGTCATCCCAGCACTTGGGGTGGCAGAGGCAGGTGGATCACTTGAGGCCAAGAGTTTGAGACCAACCTGAGCAACATGACAAAACCCAGTCTCTACCAAAATAAAATATAAAAAGTAGCTGTGTGTGGTGGCACATGCCTGTAGTCCCAGCTACTCGGGAGGCTGAGGTGGGAGGATCGCCTGAGCCTGGGAGGTCAAGGCCAAGGCTGTACTCCAGCCTGGGTGACAGAGTGAGACCCTGTCTCAAAAAAAAAAGTGGCAGAACTTCCATTAGATATGAATAAAGAAGATTAAAAGGGGATGTCCAGATTTTTCAACATGGGGGCAATTTATGCCACTCTGAAAGTAGGTATTTGGAGAACAGGCCTGTTTTGGTAGTAGGAGAGTATTTTCTGTGGGGTATGTTGCATTCGTCCTGACCTGAAGCCATCAAGTGAAGATGCCCAGTAGCCTTTAGCAGGAGCTCTCAGCATTAGCATCTAGTAACTGAAGCCCCAGAAGTAGCGGATCCCACAGACAATGGATATCAAGAAAGCAGAGCCAAGAACTTCAGAGAGAACCTTAGAGGGAACCTGGAATTCAGGGACAGAGCAGGGGCCAGCAAACTATGGCTTGGGGGCCAGATTAACAAAACTTTTTGTGAATAAGTTGTGTTTGTTTACTTATTATCTGTAGCTTTTTTCAAGCTACAGTGGCAGAGTCGGGTAGTTAAATCAGGGATTGTGTGGCCCCCAAAGCCTACTGTCGCTTCTCCAGCCCTTTACAGAAAAAGTTTGCCAACCCCTAGGCTAGAGGGAGAAGAGCAATATAGGGAAATGCATCATGGGTAATAGACCCCAATCCAGGATCTCCGCCCCAGAAGTGGTGATCTTGTGGCATTCTAGGCCTAGAGTATTTGGTGGGGACGGCATGGTGCCTGGGTCAACACTGTCTGCAAATACACCAGGCCCCGAGGTGCAGTTCTTCGTTTCTGCCCTCTCCCTTCGCCCTCAGCCACACACCCAGTGAAAGGGGGGGTAATTATCCTTGACCTTATCTAGACTTCCTCTGTTCTCTGATGATACCAAGTTCTGACCATTTTACTTATCTGGTGGGGAGGTGGCTGCTAGGAGAGAAGGGGAGCTGTGTGTGTGGAACACAGCGGAGGGGCAGAGAAAGCGGCTTGCTGGAACTCTGGCAGGCCACGAGTACAGCCGTTATGCAGGCACTGTCAGTAGGTGCTTCCTGTTGAAGTAGAGGGTAAATGCTGCGAGTGTCCCAGAATTAAAAGTGCCTGACTGGAAGTGGAGGCACAGGGGGATTGGCTGGCTGTTGATTCTTGTCAAAACTGGGTTTAGGGTACTTGGGATTATATTGTTTTGTCCATTTTTATGTGTTTGGAACTTTTTGTAGTAGTTAATTAAAAATGCTCCTACTCTTGCTAGGGTATGACACTGGTTGAGACCAAGAGTTGATTTTCACACCCAGGGCCACAGCTTCACTCCACCTCTCCACCACCCTGTGACCCCGGGCCAGTCACTTCACTAAGTCTGAGTCCTCTTCTGGAAGTGGCAGTGATTAAAAGCTTTTTTTTTTTTTTCCCACCTAATCCTGCCAATTTAAGGTCAAGAAATTACTGACCGTCAAATGGGAAGGATTAAGTGAAACAAAAAACGTGATGGCCTTAGCACAGTGACCAGCAGAGAATAGTGTTCAGTAAATGTTGAGGTCCAGCACGTCTCAGTCTGAAAGGCAAGATAACATGGTGCATAAAACTGGAGTTTTCACAATACGTTGACAGGCTCACAGTGCATCAGCAAATAGGACAGTGATTATTCATGATTTGAGAAGCTGAGAAAGGAATTCAGAGGTAAAAACACCAGCTAGTCTGACAGGTCTGGGCCTAGAGTTCAGGTTGCTTTATGCACTAAGTAGGCTGTAATCCAGGACTCAGTAAATTGGAAGGAGAACCTTGTCAGAAACACTATGCTAAGGGCTGTAAACATAATGGGTATGAAATAATTATATGTCTGTGTCTTTTTAAGCGTGGAGTTTTTTCCACAGAGGTACTGTGTGCAGTACAGGCGGTAATAGTGGAGTCAGACAGGCCTGCTACTCTTTGCTGCTAGTTTAACCTCTCTGCATAGATGTAGTTTCTCCTGCTGCCTGCTGAATACGAAATACCATATGAGTTAAGACCACTGAAGTGACCAGCAGGATTTTAGAACTCTATTGATATATGTAGCTCCCTCCTTCTAGTATAGCTTCATAAACTCAACGAATGCATCCCTTTGGCGCCCGCTTCGTGACTTTTCCATCTTTTCCAGCACTGAAGCAGTTGTGTCAAACATTCTCTTGGTCTCGATTAAAGAAATTTGGCATTTTTTCCCCTCTGAATTCATGAGTGGCAAGTGAAAATTGTTCCTGTGTATTGGAAAAACATGATTCTCCCATTTCCCATGCCAACCAAGCATGCTAGGTGCTGTTAGAGCCCGCCTCATCCAGAGTGCCCTGGGTGGTGGGCCCTTGCCTGCGTCCCCAGTGCTTACCCCAGCACACTGGTTTCCAAAGAACTCCTCAGGTGCACATGGGTTGAATTGGGGTGTCCTGGGCCAGCTGCCGGTGTTACAGTCGAGCCCAACCCTGGGCATATGCAGTGCCAACTTGGTGGCGGTCCACCAGAGAATGGCCCAGAGACCTGGACTGGAGCCATCAGGGCACAGCCACCCCTTGTGGTCCTTTGTTAGGTTACGTAGGTAGGTCTAAATCCCTCGCCGCAAAAAAGAAAAGGCCTAGCTGAAAATATTATCTTTTAGTCTTTCTGTCTTGTCTTGAAGGTGCTTGACATCCTCCAGCACATCCAAACCCTAGACCCGGGGCAGCACGGGGCGGTGGGCTACCTGGTGCAGCACACTCTAGAGCACATTGAGCGCAAAAAGGAGGAGGTGGGCGTGGAGGTGAAGCTGCGCTCCGATGAGAAGCACAGGGATGTCTGCTACTCCATCGGGCTCATTATGAAGCATAAGAGGTGAGTGCCCACGATTGTCTGTCCTGTGGTGTCCCTTCCACAGGGGCTGCGGAGACACACACGCACCTGGTGAGCCCCCAGGGCACAGTGGCGGAGGAGCTGGCTGGATCACTTATCCCCCAAGTGTGCACCTTGGGGAAGACAGAACGCTGGACCTCTTTTTTTTCTTTTTGAACCATGTCTTTGACCTTTGTGTTTTTTTAAGCAGCAACTTACTTTCCTGAGAGAGCTTCTAGTGTTTTTAGTGGCCTTTAGATGTTTGACCCTTCTCTGTTTGGGAACATGGAAGTAACTTTGTAAGCCACAAGTTTTTTCTCTCATTTCCTCATTGTTCTTATGTCTTGTCACTTAATCTCAGGCTCTTCAAATCTGATAGGCACGTGGTCTATTTACCAGGCAAAATTAAACTGTATCCAAAATGATTGGAGCAGTTTACATCCCACCAGCAGGCTAGGAGCCTAGAGTTCTTATTCTCACCTGGTGCTATTGCCAGACCTTTAAAAGTGTACTCACGTGAGAAATGGCAAATAGTGTTTCACTGTGGTTTTAATTTCTGTTTCCTGGGTTACTAAGCACGGTGAGGTTCTTTTCATATATTTACTGGCTACCCAAGTTCCAAGTTTCCTCTTATTAAGCGCCTCTTCAAACATTTCGTGGTTTTTTTTTTTTTGGTTTTTTTTTTCTCCTTTGGAGGCGGAGTCTGGGTCTGTTGCCCAGGCTGGAGTGCAGTGGTGCGATCTCACCTCACCTGCAGCCTCTGCCTCCTGGGTTCAAGCGATTCTCCTGCCTCAGCCTCCCAAGTAGCTGGGACTACAGGCACGCACCACCACACCTGGCTAATTTTTTGTGTTTTAGTAAAGACAGGGTTTCACCATGTTGACCAGGCTCGTCACTAACTCCTGACTAAAGTGATCTGCTGTTTTGGCCTCCCAAAGTGCTAGGATTACAGGCATGAGCCATGGTACCCGGCCCATTTCGTGTATTTTTTTCAATTGAGTTATTAGTCCTCCCTATTGATACGTTAGTTGTCCTGTATATCAGTCTCTACATGAGGATAAGTTGCAAATGTCTTTTCCCAGTTTTTGGCAGGTGGTTGTCATTCTTTATTGCATTTTTTTTTTGACTTTTAAATGGAAATTTGCAAAGATTTATAAGAGAGAAAGGACTGTAAGGAACCAGGTGGTGTTCCTGTCATCCAGCCTCCACAGCTTCCATACGGGGTGGATCTTACTCTCCCCTGCACCCTCCAGACCTACCTTTCTGGGTTAATTGACGTAAGTGCCAGATGCCATTTCACCTATAGCGATTTCAGTATGTACCTCTAAAAGGCAGGGGCACTCTCTCCTTCTCTCTCGGTCTTTTAATATTTAACATCTTGTTATCACATCTAAAAAACCCCAGTTCCTTAACTTCATGCAGTATCTGGTGAGAGTTCCTATATCCCCAGTTGTCTCATATTTTTAAATGTTTGGATCAGGATTTGTTAGTCTCTTGGTTTTAGTGATGTCAAATTGGTTAGTCGTTTCCTTTACGGGCTGTATTTTTAGTGCCTTGTTTTAACAAACCTTCCCTATCCTGAGCACGAAGATACTTTCTATTTTAGAAGTTCTGCATTTAACACCTGAGTCTTCATTGTACTGAGAATCAAATTTGGTGTGCTGTTGTTAGGCCAGGTCCCCATACCTTTTTCTTTTGGGTGACCAGTTGTCGTCTAATCACTTTTTGTTGAAAAGTTTATTCTTTTCCAGATAAAGTGCTATGTTGATAATAAGAAGTGTTTATAAAAGGGGTCAGGGCTGTCCTGAGAAAAGATTCATGTGGAGTAAAGCAGGTAACTGAGGATGAGCTGAGAGAAGCCACGTGGTTGTCTGTAGGTTGTTGCGCCCGGTCCACAAGGACTGACTGTGCCTCCTGTGTTAACTAGGTATGGCTATAACTGTGTGATCTACGGCTGGGACCCCACCTGCATGATGGGACACGAGTGGATCCGGAACATGAACGTCCACAGCCTACCGCACGGCCACCACCAGCCTTTCTATAACGTGCTGGTGGAGGACGGCTCCTGTCGATACGCAGCCCAAGGTAAGTGGCGGTTCCGCTTGCTCCAGTGGCCCCCTGGGCGTGTGTTCAGCACACGTCCGAGCCCTCGGGTAGGTACTGTGGGCGTCGGCCATCGGTGCCTGGGCGGCTGACGCCCCATGGCCAGCCTCCTTCGGGCCCACAGTCAGCTAAACGTGGCTGGGTCTGCACAGGTGCAGCCCTGGCGAGGGGTCAGTAGTCACACCCGCCCTCCCCCAGGGCCTCCGCTCCCACAGCCCGAACCCTATGCCAGCTGTTGCCAGCTCTCATCTGATTGGCCATTGTCGATGCCAATCAAATTCCTGTAAGTCCTGCCTCCTGGACCCTGCTCTCGGCTCCTCCCAGACAAGAAGGGAACCTGGTGAACACTTGGGGGGCCCCCTAGTGCCCCCTGGCCTCCCCAGGCTTTGGCTGCCAGTTGATGCCGGAGACGCCCTCGTGTGGCCACCTGTGGGGACTGCAGCCCACAGCGCCGGCCCTGGGAACACCTGAGCGCCCGCAAGTGTGCGGTAAGTTTGGGTAGGTAAGTTTGGGTAGGCGTCTGGGCCACTGCCGCCCCGGCAGGTGCCAGCCCAGGGCAAGACTGAGGTAGAGACTGACAGAGCCTGTGGAAGCCGGTGAGAAACAAGAATGCCTTCAGTATGCGTCTCCCTTCTCTTTGTTCCTGTTGAATTTCACCTCCACTTAATAGGATGAATTCATTGTAGTGTCTGTCAAAGCATTCACATTGATTAATTAATAGTTCACATTTATTAATAAAAATGAACGTGAATGCTAACGTAGTGCCATTCTGTGACGGGCATCATTCTAATGTATATTAACTCCATTTGAGAAACATCATCATTTTCTAGATGAGGAAACTGAGGCACAGGAAAGCCATTGAAATTTTAACTTACAGAACACAATTTGAAGCCAGGCAGCTTGACAGAGAGCCTCCTCCTTATCCATCATGCTGTACCTGCTCGTGTCTGGCCTAAAACATGAGGTTTGACCTAACTCGATATTATGTTCTGATAAATCCAATAATCAAAATATGGGATGTATAAAAATCTCAGAAGTTTCTAAAAGGCTGGAAATTGCCAGGTGAAGTGGCTCACACCTGGCTCACACCTGTAATTCCAGCACTTTGGGAGGGTGAGGCAGGATTATTGCTTGAGCTCAGGAGTTTGAGACCAGATTGGGCAACACAGCAAGACCCCATATCTGCAAAAAATTTAAAAATTAGCCAGGCAGAGTCATGTGCACCTGTGTTCCCAGCTACAACACAACAAGACCCCATCTCTACACAAAAATTAAAAATTAGGCAGAATAGTGTACACCTGTGGTCCCAGCTATTCAGGAGGTTGGGTTAGGAGGATCACTCAGGCCTGGGAAGTGAAGGCCGCAGTGTGCTATAATCATTGTGTTGCTGCACTCCAGTCTGGGTGACAGAGTGAGATCTCATCTCAAAAGGCTGGAAAATAATGATTATTGTCAATTCATCAGAAACTGAAAGGATCCCCTGGAACGGCAGCATCAAGAGAAATGTTTGTTGAGACTGCAGGTTGCTTACCCTGCCTCAGTGTGATGGGGACGGTGTAAGGGGTTTATATGCTCCCTGTGGCAGATGGAGGCACCAACGGGGATATTATTAAACTTTTGAAGCTGTGTCGAATATAAACAATCTCTAAAAATCAACACATGATTTGGAAATTATTGACTGATCCCTGCGCCATTGGTACCAGCACAAGTCACCTGGTAAGTGCTTGATACCCTACAACATACGGCGTTCACAAGAATAAAGAAGCATTTTCTTTTCAACAACACTGTGGGCCAGTGTCTGTGGCTTTACCACATGGCATCATTATCCACTGTTTAGGGTTGATCTTAAGTATTTGGTTTTAGGGGTTGTGATTTGTTCACTTCAGAAGTTCTTATCGTATCTAGGTGAACATGCAATGTAAGGTTTAGTCATAAAATTGTCATTACTGAAAAAACATCTGGTTGTCAGTTTTATCATCTCTTAAATCGAGATAGAACTAAATGATTATGGGTGATGTTAGCAAATTGCCTTCTGGAATTTAAAATGTAGAGACTTAGAAAATTCTTAGAACTTCAAAGCTGTTTCTACACTATGCTAGTTCCCGTCTTCTGCTGGCAGTTTCATCAGCACTCCATCAGCAAGCGTTTCCTGAGGGACTCTGAGTCCTAGGCTGAGGGGCAGTTGCCCCCCCAACATGTCTGATGTGTAGCTGTCTGCAGGGTCCTCCCTCTCCAGGGGACTCTCCTCTAGGCCTTCATCTCTTTCCCCCTTGGGGTGTCTGGATATGCTGGTGACTTCCAAAGCCGTGTTTCCATCCCAAGCTCTTCTCTGGGCTCTGTGCCCACCTCTAACAGCCCCCAGGTGTGTGCGCTTGGAGGTCTCTCGGGGGTCTTGTCTCCACTGTTCTTACCCCCGACTCACTGAACCCATTGTTGTAACTCGATTATCTCTGCAAAGAAAGACAAAGCATGAACGCTTTGTGCTGCCCCCATATCCCCGCTGCTCCTGCCTGCCCATCTCACTGTGCCTGCCCATCTCACTGTGCCTGCCCATCTCACTCTGCCTGCCCATCTCACTCTGCCTGCCCATCTCACTGAGTGACACCACATGGGGGCCGGGTCTCGCCCTTCTCTCTTTGCCCTCGCCACACATCTGTCTACACACACACGGCTGTCTCTTCATGTGTCTCACATTTCCATTCCGGTGGTTTCTGCTTGCCTACTTCCTAACTGGCACCTGCCTCCAGGCCTGTCCCCAACCAAGCATTTTCCTTAGCAGCAGCAAGAGGATCTTCCTAGCGTGTCCCCGGCCACTTACTGCTTGAATTGACTGACCGTTAGGAGTTTCTCATCGGCAGGCAGTCCGGAATGCTTTACCAGGCCCTAGGGATCTGGCCTTCCCCTTACAGCCCCAGCACGGTTCCCACCCCCGGCATACTCCCGCCCATTTCCGCTCATCTTCCTTGAAGTCGTCATTCTTGCTTGCACGTCTTCACACAGTTGACTGCCCCTGACTGATAGGTTTCCCTGCCTCACCTGCTGGTTTCCTGTCACTTCCTCCCAGAAGCTCTTCTCGCCCCGCCCCTTCCCTGCCCCTTGAGGTCAGGTCATTTGTTCCCACTCTGCACTTCGTGACACCCTGTCCTTCCCTGTCTTTCACATCCGCTGTTTCCTATTGAATGCTCTGCCCTCCTCGCCCAGTGTGAGCTTGGGGAGCTCGGTGAATGTGAAGTTCCTGCTCGCCCACGATGTGTCCCAGCTCCCATGCCACACCCCTGGGAGAGGCTTGCATTCAGCTGGGGGAGGGAATCCATCCCGGAGAGAGACAGCAGTAAACAGACACACAGCTGTGAGATGAGGGGAAAGTGTGTCATGAATGAGAGGCTTTTTTTTTTAATATATAGGAAATTGGGATGAAGAGCATTTTCAAACACATGGAACAGTTAAAATAATACATCAAATATCCCCGTTTACCCTCCAGTCGATTCAACAGTGAATGATTCCCATATTAGCTTTATCTATAGAGACTTTACTTTTTGCCTGCACCATTTGAAAGAATATTGCAGACATGACCTAAATGCTGAATTATGTCTAAGTATAAGGAGATTCCTCTGCATAACCGCAATTACATTATCATACCTAACATAATTATTTTATAATATCTAATAGTTTTCAAATTTCTCAATTGTCACAAAATAACCTTATGCCTATTTTTTGCTGGTTTTTTAAAATCAGGATCCAACCAGATTTCATTCACTGCATTTGGTTGTTTTTTTCTCTTTAGTCTCTCTTATTAAAGACAGTTCCTCATTCTTCTTCTTTTTTCCCCTTCTTCATATGACTTTGACTTTTTGAAGAATCCAGTGCAGTGGTGCAAACCTGAGTCACTGCAGCCTTAACCTCCTCAGCTCAAGTGATCCTCCCACCTCAGCCTCCCAAGTAGCTGGGACTACAGGCATGTGCCACCACACCTGGCTACTTTTTTTTTTTTTTTAAGACGGAGTCTCGCTCTGTCGCCCGGGCTGGAGTGCAGTGGCCGGATCTCGGCTCACTGCAAAGTCCGCCTTCCGGGTTCACGCCATTCTTTTGCCTCAGCCTCCCGAGTAGCTGGGACTACAGGCGCCTGCCACCTCGCCCGGCTAATGTTTTTGTATTTTTTTAGTAGAGACGGGGTTTCACCGTGTTAGCCAGGATGGTCTCGATCTCCTGATCTCGTGATCCACCCGTCTCGGCCTCCCAAAGTGCTGGGATTACAGGCTTGAGCCACCGCGCCTGGCCCACACCTGGCTACTTTTTGTGTTTTTGTAGAAACGGGGTTCACCATGTGGCCCAGGCTGGTCTCAAACTCCTGGACTCAAGCATTCTGCCCACTTCGGCCTCTTAAAGTGTTGAGATTACAGATGTGAGCCACTGTGCCTGGCCATTGTCTTGTAAATTATATAACATTTTGGATTTGCCTCATTGGTTCCTTAACTGTACGATGTCTGCCAGCTGGGAGTGAAGTCTGAGTCCTGATTAGATGAGGATAAGAATTCTTGGGGAGGATACTTCACATCCCTCGCCGCGTGCTTCCCACTGGGTCTCATCAGGAGCCCTGTGTGAGTGATGCTGAGTTTGGTCACTTGGCTAAGATAGTAACTCACTATTTCAATGAAGAAATCCACGTGGGCACTCTGTGGCATCCTGTGAAGATCCTGTTCCCCACTGACCTTGAACATTGTGGTTCTAGCACTTTTTTAATATCCTTGCCTAAATCTTTATATGAGAATTGCCAAGTGGTGATTTTGCCACCACTGTTGTTCTCTCTACTTCAATGAACAAGAGCTTTCTTCTTCCTCCCTGCCTCTCCCTTCCCTCTCCCTATCTCTCCTTCCCTGCCCTTGTCTCTGCCATAGATTCCTGGATTTTTATTTATTCAGTGTGTTATAATCATGTGGGACAATTTTATGCTCACATTTGCCCATTTTTAGCCAGTGAGAGGC